CCAGGAGAGATCAGTCTTTGGAGAAGGACATTAAGCTCAGAAGGCTGGAGGGACAATGCAGGAGGGGAAGATCTCGGATGAAATGGATTTTTTGATACGGTAACTGGGGTACAGGTTGTAAGGAGAGACAGGTTTTTAGAGAGGGACATCATGCTGGGTAGAGTAGAGGGACAGCGCAGGAGGGGAAGACCCTCTATGAAGTGGATTGATTCAATGACTGGGGTAATCGGGACGGGTGTGTCAGAGGCAATGCAATTGGCACAGGATAGAGCAGGATTTAGGGCTGTTGTACATAGGGTCCTATGAGTCGCAAATGACTTGACGGCACATAACAACAACAACAACAAACTGGGGTACTGGGGTTAGTTTGTCAGAATTATTGAGACTGGCTCAGGATAGGGCAAGGTTCAGAACTACTGTATATAGGGCCACTATGGGTCGCAGGTGATTCAAGGGCACAGAACAACAATAACAAACAACATATTGTACTTTTAAAAATATTAAGCAAACAAAACAAATCTTTCTTTAGTGCTTATTATGTATCAGGATGTGAGTCAGGTCTCACAGACAAGGCAGCGAACTACATAGACCCTATCCTCATTTATTTTAGAAACATGAAAACCAAAAATGAAAAACAAACTCTCAAAAAAACAAAACGCTATATCCATTCACATACTAAAGTCACTCATTATGTGGCTATATGCTTACATATCAAAATATAAGAAAATGTGTATTTTAAAATAGATAATGCTACAATATTAGAAACTTACTGTATACAATTTAGATTCCTTCCTCAATATTTAATGATAGTGGAATTATTTTCCAAATAACTTTTTGTTGACTCATTATTATGCAGTGAGGCAGGAAGTGCAGTGCTTGAGGCTGACTAGAAATTGCACATCAGTCCATGTGAACCTTACATGCTTGGGGAAAGCCTTGAGATCAACTACTGTGGGTTCTCTTCATATAGCATAACTTTTTATAATGCACTGCATAATGTTTTGGAAAAATGGCAGGGGAGTGGGAAGTGCCGAGTAAAGGAGCTATTAGCTATTAGACACCTGTGGCTGAGCACTTGAAATGAGGCTTAGCCCAAAAAAATGGACAGTGAGTGCAAAATACACCCTGAATTTCTAAGATAAGGGCACATACACATAAAAAGACTGTAAAATATCGTGTTGGTCATTTTATAATGATTGTATAATAAAATAATTTCTAGGCAAAATTTTTAAAAATAACTTCATAAAAGAAATTTCTCAGATTTTTAAATTGGGTTACTAAAATTTTATATTTCGAATGTACAGAACAGTTTAAAGTCGTGGTTCTCTACCATAAATATGCATTAGGATTACATGTTAAGACAGAAATGTTGGATCGCCACCTTAAATTTCTGATTTGTCTAGGATGAAGCCAGAGAAAGAAAATTTCTACCAACTGCCCAGGTGACCTACATTTTGATAACTTGATCTAGAACAATGTAGGTTTCTGTGACGAGAAAAGGTATTTACAGCTCCCTTTCAGAGGACAATGATAGGCATAGGTCCTCTCTCCAGAAAAGTACATATATAAGCACACAAAGAAAAAGGAATTCCAAGCCACAGTAACCTTTCAGAGGAGGGGAAAATTGTCAAGAGTCTTAAAAATTATTACATCTTTTTTAGTTCATGAACACCACTTCAATTTTTTTTTTAAACTAAGGCATGTATAAATGTAAGCATATGGATATTAAGACACTGTTTACAGTAATAAAAATTTAGAAATCAACTAAATGTCAGATAAATTTCTAATTCTTAGAAATCTAGTTCTGGCAAAACTATAGAAGAGGAAATAATTTAAAGATTACTATGTCTCTGCATTCCTCTAGATCGTATAGCCCTGGTGTACAAGTTGCCGTACAGCGGTAACTTACGGTTGCTGTGAGGCTGAACACTGTGACACGGATGTGTCAAAATGTGTTAATGGTTGGTTACCCAATGCAGACAGAGAGGTGGAGCTCCCTGATTAAAACAAGCTTGGAAGGAAAAGTGACATCCACTTCCATAATAGCTCGCCTCTGGAAACCCTATGAACCTGGAGAGAAGATGAAAGATACTCAAGCGTTGAGGACTCTCCTTCATAGGGTCGCTATGAGTCGCCTGAGACTCGATGGCACTTAACAACAACAACTGTGTCTCTGACAAAGTTTTGCATGTATTAACTCATTTAAGTCTCCCAACACTCCAATAAGTATTCTATCTCCATTTTCCCCAGAAGGAAACAAAGGCTCTGAATATATTACTTGTCCATAAAGGTGGAATAGCTAGTAAGTGGCTATTAATTCTGGACTTTTAATCACTACATTTTCCTAGTTATAAATTTTCTCTCTATATTTTCTATGCTTTTCAAATTTTACATGATCATGTATTGTGTCTGTAATCAGGAGTGGAAAAAGAATTCTATAGATGTGGTAATTTTTTATATTATTTAAATAATAACTATCTTCTCAGAGGCTTGCTACCAATATTTCATTTCACTTAGTTCATTGAAATAAAAGGTAAAAGAAAGATGACAACATATAGTAACCCTATGTACAGCAGCTCTGAACCCTGCCCTGCGTGTTGATGTGGAGCCAAGCAAGTTGTAATTGTTAACAACCTCAATCTCTTCTCCATCTATCATGGTGCTACCAATTGACCCAGTTGTGAGAATCTTTGTCTTCCTGATGTTAAGCTTCAGTTCCTATTAATGATTACAATTTCTGACCTTCTGTAGCAAGTGCTACAGGTCGTCTTCAGTTTCAACAAGCAAGGATGTGTCATCTGCATAATGAAGGTTGTTGATGAGTCTTGATGCCACATTCCTCCTCAAAAAGCCCAGCTTAGCAAATGATCTGTTCTGTATACAACTTGAAAACCTATGGAGATAGGATGCATCCCTCACACACTCCTTTCCTGATTTTGAAACATGCAGTATAATCATAGGGCTGCACAATTCAATAGGTGGAGGGAGGCAGAAAAAGGTGGCGTGGAAAAAAAAATACACACAAACTTTGTAAATAAACCAGTATAAAATAAAAATACAAAAACAGGAACAGGTATTTGGTATATCGAAAAATGATGGGCATTTGAGATAGAAGAAACAGAGTAAGAAGACATAGGAGATGCAAAAACATAATGTATTCAGAGAACACATGAGAAGTTCCAAGCAGCTGAAGTATAGGCTATAGTATAGGGAGAGATGGACAGTTAATCTGATAATGCAGATTGAACTAACTTTATGAAGAGCTAAATGTATATTCAGCTAAAATAACCATACAAACATGGGAAACTACTTGTGATGTACACATATTAGAAAAAACAAAATTAAACTTTTAGACATTTAATTTTGGCAAAATGCAGAAGATATAGTAAAGAAGAACAGATGAGAAGGAAGATCATTTGGGAAGGCCTCACACAGGATTAAAGAGGTATGGTAGCATAGTAGTTGAGCACTCAGCTAGTTCATACATACCAGTGGCACCATGTGAAAAAGATGTGGCAGTTTTCTAGAGATATTATGCTCTAGAGATATCATTGATTATGCAAAGGTGTTTGACGCTGTGATCACAAGAAATTGTGGCTAACTCCGAGAAGAATAGGAATCCTAGAACACTTGATCATGCTTATGTGAAACCTATAAGTCGTCAGAACAAAGCAAACACCGAAAGTTTCAAAACTAGGAAGGGTGTACGCCAGGGATGTATCCTATCTCCATACCTTTTCAATCAATATACAGAGCAGATTATCTGGGAGGCTAGGCTGTATGAGGAGAAATGTGGCATCAGGATTGGAGGAAGATCCAATAATCTGCGTTATGCAGATGATACAACCCTGCTTGTTGAAACTGAGGATGACCTGAAACGCTTGTTGCAGAAAGTAAAGGACTGCAGCCTTCACTATGGATTGAGGCTCAGTATCAAGAAAACAAAGATTCTCTGAGCCAATTAGCAGCATCATGATAGATGGTAAAGAGATCGAGACTGTTAACAGTTTTAGTTTGCTTGGCTACACAATCAACACTCTTGGCACTAGCAACCAGGAAATTAAAAGATGTATTGTCCTGGGAAAGTCTGCTGTCCGAGACATCTCCAGAGTACTGAAGAGCAATGATGTCAATCTAGAGACTAAGGTGTGCCTGATTCAGGCCAAGGTATTTTGCAATCACTTGTTATGCATCAGAGAGCTAGACAATGGCTAGGGATGACAGAAGGAGAACTGATGCCTTTGACCTGTGGTGCTGGAGAAGAGTACTGAATATACTAGGGACTGCTAGGAGAACAAAAAAGTTCACCCTAGAGAGAGTTAAATCAAGCTGCTCCTTGGAGACAAGGATTCTGAAGCTTCATCCGACATACTTTGGACAAATTGTAAGAAGGAATCAGTCCTTGGTGAGGGACGTCATGCTTGGGAGGGTGGAGGGACAACGCAGGAGAAGACGACCCTCAATGAAGTGGATTGATTCAGTGACTGGGGAAAATGAAAGTAGTCGTGTTAGAGACGGTGCGATTGGCACAGGACAGAGAAAAGTTTAGGGCTGTTGTACATAAGGTCGCTTATGAGTTGCAGGCGACTCCATGGCATATAACAACAACAACAACAGACCAGAATCTCTCCAGGTCTCTCCTGGCAGTATCCTCCTAAGGCCTAAGAACAAGCCATTATTTCTTTCTTAAATACTTAATGTAAGCAGAATTATATGAAAAGTGCTTATTAACTGTCAAGGAATGTTTCTTGAATGGTATTTTGTAATATGTCAACTTTCTGAAGAAATCTCTCCTAAATAATGTCCTGCTTCACAGACAGGATCACTGAGGTAATCTGGGGGAATGACGGGAGTGTTGTTAGGAATATTTTTCTGTACTTTGCTGACTTGCAGAGAAAACTTCAAGCATTTAGTTGTAAAGCGGCATATAGAAAATACTATTTCCATCTTAAATCAAAACTGTTATATAATTTTTAAAAAAACAAAATCTGAGTACATACTATTTCATTAATCCCACTGAGTTTGCCTGAAGTAAGCTTTGGTCTGGAAGGAGGCCTTGGAGGTGGGACAATGGTGCCTACAGAAAGAGGAGTTGTGGGCCTGGCTGGTGAGGGGGGGAAAAAGAAAAAAGTTAGTATGTAGCAATCCTTAAATAAAGGCATTCTATAACAGAGAAGCTATTAGGATTCAAAGTTACTTTTCAGGACTTTTTTTGTTGCTATTTTGTTTTTAAAGTAGTAACAGGTACTCAAATAGTGGAATTCTGTCAAAAATGTTTTCAAGTTACCAATAATTTTCCTGGAAAAAAAAAGTGTTAACCTTTCAATAAACTAATAAACATACTTTCCCATTTTAATAATTTATCCATATTAAAAATTATATTTTATAAATTAGCTGGTAAAAAGAAACAAAAGCCAAAGGTCTATTACCAATACATCTACTTGACAACGATGTAAAACCAATCCTAGGAATCCTAGGAAGCAGAACCTTCAGAACACGACCACATTGCCAAACATAATACTTACCTTAACTAAACTTGTTAATGTGACTTTTAGGTCTAACTACATTGTAACTTCTTTTGGATAATAAAAAGCATTTTTTAAAACTCTAACTAATTATACAAAATATTTCCCCTAGTAAATATGATTTAGTTTTGGTAAATGTTCAAAATATTAACTTTCTCCTAAATCTTATACAAATTTAGCACTCATTGTTTTTCAACAAGAGTTTTCAAAAAAATTTTTTTATAAAAGTTTGGGCTGGTTGTGTGCGAGTTTTCAAAATTTTAAAAAATTAGATTATTAAATTTAGTAGCCGTAACTAAAAATAATTCTTATTATGGTATGAAGTGAAAATCAAATGTAGAGCAGCAAAAATCACAAATATATTGCTATAACCAAGACAAGAATAAGGAAGAAAGGGGGGAAAGATGTATGTTTAAATTAACTTTAAATAAATTAATCAGAATTATTTTCCAATCCCTCTGGTCTATCCCAAAATACAGGCTTATAATTTAGTATCTAAAGATCATAACGTAGGAAGGAATCCTATTCAGCAAGTTCCATATGGCTGCAGATATACAACGTACATCTATGAAGAAACAAAAAGTAAAGTTGTAAATCCTTGGACAATCAATATAGGAATAGGCAGGAGGTGAAGGAGCACAAAGATGGTAAAAATTGAAGAATATTAATTACACAAGAGCAAAATAAAAGAGTGGGAATCAATTAGAAAACATAATGTATGAGTAAATTAAAAATGTTAATACAATTGATGCAAACTTTGGTACTGAAACACTGTCCACTTTAAAGACATGTTCCTTTTTCAATGAAACCAGCACTGACCTGTACTCTTAAGTTATCCCAAGTCTGTGAGGATGCATAATAGAGCAGGGGCATTTGTACCTACAACTTTATCTTTTACCAAGTGGCTTATCCTCATGACATTTAGAATGGCTTAAAGAAAAATTAGTAAAAGTGCTAATTGGCTTTTTTCTAAATGTCACAATTTTTGAGGGAGAGCCAGGAATAGTGCTCATAAATACTACAGTGAGTATTAAATTTGCGTATCACTTAGTAACTGCTATTAAAAATCTCTGGAGGAACTGACTACAGCAGATTATATTCCCAAGTGAACTGTGTACTGATTTTTGCTGGTGTGGGTTCACTACTAAGAACCATCAATTAAATGTAGTAGCTCAAGAGATAATAATTTGTAAAGTAGAAAAATTTGCAGTCTTATGCAGTATTTGTCCTTGTGAGACTGAGTTAGTTCACTCACAATGCTTTCTATACTCTCCCATGTCATACAGTATTTTTCAAGACTATTATTGTAAAAACAGAAAGACAGCAAGTAAGATGTGTATAAATGTCCAAACGGAAAGAGGTAAGAGGGGTGCTGAGAGGGGAGTGCTGAGGTTGGGAAGGGAGAAAATCATGGGATTTCAGAGTTTGACGGAAAGATCCCATGGGGATCTGGAAAGAAAGGGTACAGGATTATAGATCTATGGTGAATAATTTTACAAGACACAATGTATGGGAATGATTGCATAAAACACAGTGTGAATGAAGGAATTTTTAAAAAAATACAAGAGACAAGAGCTCATCTGTATCTGTCTTCTGACATTACCAAAGATAAGCAGTCAGCACACGTTTGCCACCCATCTACACAGAAACAGAGCTTAATTTACAATCCAGGCACAATAATGATGATGTAGAATTCTCAACAGATTTTTTCAGTAGGGAATTTTTCAGGACATGTAATATGTTGGCATAGGTCACTCTCATCTTCAGAAATGCAGTTATTGGAAGCATCAGATAACGTGAAAGTATTTTCTGCTTAACAATGTTGTTGTTGTTAGGTGTGTGTCAAGTATGACTCATAGTGACCCTATGAACAGCAGATCTGAAACTTGTCCCATCCAGTGCCATCTTCACAATCTTTGATACACTCCAGCCCATTGCTGCAGTCACTGTGTCAGTTCACCTGGTTGAGGGTCTTCCTCTCTTTCTTCACCCACCTTTCCAAGAATAATGCCCTTCTCCAGGGAATAGCTTTTCCTACCAACAAAGCTTTGTGTGTGAGACAAAGTATGTGAGACAAAGCTTTGCCATTCATGCATCCAAAGAGCACTATGGCTTTACAATACAACCTCTGGATTTTCATATTTGTTTGAGTATAGTTTTTCATAGTATTCTAATGTTAGCTTTTTTATTTTAGTTGGGTCTGTTGTGATGTTACCTGATTCATCTC